GGTCAGCTACCCAAAAATCAGGCACAGCACTAACTTCACACAGTGTCCTATGAATTGCTTCAACCATGAGAAAATATCTAGAAAGGTAAAAAAACAGTTTAGACTTCATATACACTTGTTCTTTGCTTTGACTACCCACAAATGTACTGAAATGGCTTGCCAACTCATTTTACACAGGTCTGCATGGAATCTATTTTGGTTGTTAAATAGTTATAATGAGAGCTGGTTGATTGCTATAAAACTTTTTACAAACAGCCATTTGAAATCTTATCTGCTGTTTGATTTGGCCACGGCCTAGTATTTCTGAAAACAGTGTTTGGGTTACATAAATGGGGGTGACTTCTTTCATAGAACTACAAGTATCTCTGTGCAGCAGGGTACCTGTGTATGAACAAGAGTATTTATTATTTACTTTTCATTGTTCTGGTGTTTATTCTCCTGTGTCGGTAATCTAATCAAGGATCAAAATGCCGGGTATTTTCAAGCTAGAATTTCCAAAGAAATCTGGTGGTTTACATGCTAAAATTCCACTTAAATTTAGTACCTTCCCACAGAATATTTTGAAAATATCTGTTTTGGGGAATAGTCAGTAGATGAGGAATGTATCATAAAAGCAAACCAGTTTCAAGTAGCCCATAGGTATTAAATTGTTCATCCAAGCTGTCTGGGGAATAGTTTAAAATCATTACCTTAGTTGAAACTATGGTCTCTTCACCAATAATCAAGGAACAGAAAAAAGACTTCATTTTCTATAGGGCATTATTCAGAATTAATCATTTGATCTACTTTTCTAACAACATGAGGGCACTATTGACTTGGGCTCTATTTAGACTACGGAATAGAGATAATGGTTTCTGTATTCTATTCCTAGTTGCCTGAGGACGTATTCTGTTATATTTGTCATCTTGTTTGCCTTCTTTCATTATTCCCTTCCCTTACTTTCTTTAGCATTGGTTCTCTCTTAGGTTTTTGTATTTGTGTTATACGCCAAAACTTGATGTGAATGTTATTTACAACTCACTGGGTGTGTCTAAATGAGATGCTTTACTTGAGATTAGAGCTAATTACTATGCAGTAAGCATCACTGTCTGCATATACAGGTGTTTACTGCACAGTAATTGGCTCTAATCTCAAGGAAATTTCCTATCTGTAAAGACAAATAGCAAATTTACTCTCGATTACTTACTGTGTAGTAGTGCATGTGTAGAAACCTGACTGGGAGCACATTTGCTCCCAGTCTGCCGAGCAGCATGGGGCAAGAGATCGCTCCCTTTCCCCTGGGAGTTGCCTGCTGCCGGGGTGGGCTCAGGTGGGGCCATGTCCCCCTGCCCCAGCAGTAGGGAGCCCCGTCCCAGCTCCTCAATTGTGATCATATGGCCAGGTCTGGAAGATCCTTATGTCCCAGCAGAGCTCCACGGTGGCAGGGCCTGGGCTGGAAAATCCTTATCATGGGGCCCAGGTTGGGACAGTCTTTTCTCCAAGTGCCAGCTCCATGGTCTCAGGGTCCGGGCTGGGGGATTATTCTCTCCCAGCTCCAGCTCTGTAGTCATAGGGCTGGCAGTGGGAGAGCCTTATTTCCCAGCACCAGCTCTGTCATTGTGGGGCCAGTGCTGGGAGATTCTTTTCTCCCAGTGCTGGCTCTGTGGTTGTGGGGCTAGCGCTGGGAGATTCTTATTCATTTAATTTACTTTAGAGTAAAATGCTCCCAGATTATTTGCACATGAAGATGTACCCACTGGTAGTTCAGAGAGGACAAAAAATTGTATAATAGACTCATAGAAAAATAGAATTGACCACAGGAGGTCATGTAGTCCAATCTCCTGCTCAAGGCAACACCATTCCTGTTTAAACCATCCCAGTCAAATGTTTGCATAACCTGTTCTTAAAAACTTCCCAAGGATGGGGAATCCACAGCTTTTCTAGGTAATTTGTTCTTATGCTTAACTACTTTATAGGGAGTAAATTCTTCCTAATAGCATATTCCTAATAGGTCTTCTATCTAAGACCTAAATTTCTTGTATCGCAATTTAAGACCATTATTTCTTGTCCTGACCCCGCTAGCCAGGGAGAATAATCTATCACCATCCCTTTCATAATCACTTTTCAGGTAACTGGGATTGCTATTAAGCCCCACTTGTCCATGCTAAATAATCCCAGTTGTTCCAGCCATTTATTGTAAGTCATGTTTTCTAGACCTCTAATAATTTTTGTTGGTCCTTGCTGGACTCTTTATAATTTCTAAGCTTTTCTTGAAGTGCATTACCAAAACTGGACACAATACTCCAGGTAAGGCATCATCAGTACTGAATGCAGTGGAATAATCACTTCCTTTGACTTTCAAAGCAGTAGTTCTGTTAATAAGACCCAGAATGTTATTAGACCTTTTCCTGCAACAACAGCATGTCGCTGACTCATATCTAAGTCATGCTGATCTACTATAACTCCCAGGTCCTCTTCTGCAGGTCCTTCTCCAATATGTGTCAAAAGGAAAAAAAGGTTGGTCTGGGGCAAGCTTTACACTAGATTAGCAATGCCTACCCACTGGAGAAGTACTTCTTTGCAGTGAAGTTTTGGAACAAACTTTTGGATTATAGAGGTGTTATATCTGCGCTAGCCTGCATAGTTTGTAGTACAACCAATTACTCTACTGCAGGAAGCAATTTTTAAAAATAAAGGAGGTTGGAAGTTGGTGGACAGAAAATGGAATATTGTTTGAAGCGTATTAGGCTGTCTAGTAATGTTTGTACTGAAATTTGTATTTTATGTATTTCTAATACCACTGAAAAGCCAGAACTGGGATAAAAATAACATGGTATTTCTCCTCTTGTGGCCTTGCTATCATCCATGAACAGAACTACTATGAAAAGATAAGCTTATATGTTACTACTTCTTCTATTCCACATGGTGTTGTAGAGATGAAGAAGAAAAAGAAGATGATGAAGATGAAGAAGAATCCCTTTAACTCCAAGTTAATACATTAATATTTTGGAGAAATATCAAGCTTTTAAATGATGTGTATATGCATTAACTGCCCCTAATATCAGTCTGCCGTTTTCATTCTTTCTCTCTGAAAAGATATCATTCAGTTATGAGGGCTGTTACTGAGAATACATTGCAATGCATGACAGTCTTATAAAGCAAAGGATAAAACTAAAGACATCCTGGTAATCTTAGCTACCTACTTTATGTGTTGTGAGATGTTCACACTAGGAAATGTCTAACAAGACCCTGGCTTTTCATGTGCTTCACTTGATAGACAGTTGTTGTAAGCGCTTTGTGATAATATGGAGCTAAGGGAGTAGTTATTTCAAACTGTATGATACATCTATACATAGCTAGATCATATTTTAACCAGAGCCAGATTAAAGTTTTATTTAGCTCTAGGCACAACATAAAATTATATCCACCTCCCTCTACCATGCTTTTGGAAGGGGAGAGGATATGTGAGACTTTCCTTAGAAGATATATTTTTAAAGGATGAAAAATGCTTCATTTTAGACTTATGATTTCAAGAATCAGACAGATACATTGAAATTATCACCACATACCTTAATTTTTGGACTGTTGTACTCAGTGGGCACGTCTACATGTGCCCTTGGCTGTGCAGTTGGTACTCCAGTTGGCACTGCACAGCCATTTAGTACATTTAGTACTAAAGAAAGTACTAAATGACTGTGCATTACTGGTACTACACAGTAGTGGCGGCATCACAGTCGCTACAGCGATATAGCCCAGTGAAGACCAGGATCCTAATAAATACTTTCCATACAAAATATTTACATTAAATCTTTTATTTCTACAGTAAAGCTATAAATGTCTTAAACATGGAAAGTGTTAATGTTAGAGTAATGTTGCACCTGTGATGGTCCAAGAATTGTGCAAGAGGCAAGGATTTTTATGGGTGATATCTTTTATTGGCCCACCTTCGTGATTGGGATAGATTTCAAATGCAAAGCATTCTTCATCTGGTCTAAAGATGTAGTAGGAACAGGGATGATTAAAAACAGTGACGAGAGCTGTGAAACTGCAGAAGAGAGAAATTCCCGGGGGTAGCAGACAAACAAAAAACAGACAAAAGATAGCATGATTGGTAGCTGATCAAGACTTTTCAAAAGGGAAGAAAGTCATTATCACCTGTAGTGTGAAGAAAGATTTTCTACAATCAGATAAACTGTAGTATGCCCTAAAGTCAATATCAATTTTCAAACCTAGGTTCTTTGCATCCAGCCAGCTTATGAAACAATTTAGAAAATTATTTCTAAAATAATGTTATAAAGTATTAAAATGTATAGGTTTTATAAATACTTTATGAAACAGTGTATGAAACCCAGACTCAGAACAATACCTGGAAAAATAACATGATATAAATAGAGAATCCTTGCTTTTGCAATAACTAGACAGGTACATACATACTATTTCTAATACCAATATAGGTGGACATGTGATGGTACATATTGCACTACTGGAGGGACAAACTTCAGAAAGTCTGTTCTCAGAAGTTAGCGCTCAAGTACTTTACATGAAGGAGAAAGGAGTGGGAGTGTGATACCAGCTTTCAACACGCAGGCTTTAAAAAAAAAGTTGCCTCGGGAAATTCATAGTTACTAGTTTCCATGGATGTCAGTGAATGTCAGTGACAGTTATGTTCAACAGGAAATGACAAAACCACAAAGATGCACATCAAGGAATGTAATCCAAAAAGGTTTATATGTAGATCGATGTTCTCTTTGTTGCCCCATAAAATTGTTGTGAAAGGATACCCCATGTTTTTGGCTAATAAGCATGTGATTCTCATGTAGTCCATACTGTAATTTATTTTCACATTATAGCTCCTTTAAAATGACAGAGCAATGTAACGTAGATGAGAATCAAGTCTCACAGTACCAGCAAGTTAGGGATGTTGTATGTCTGATAAGAATGGCATCATAAAAAGGCAGTAAATCATCCAGAGAAATGAGGGAAGTAATTGTTTCCTTCTTCTTT